ATTGCGATTTATCCGCTCAAATATGCACAAAAAGGACCGAATAGGAAGTTGCGAACATTTCACTCTCCCGGATTACCTCGTTTACTTTCCGGAATCAATCGGATATTATCAGTTTCCAAATTTGGAATTTTTACTCCTCCTGATCCAATTACGTTATGATAATGCTACAAATATTAGAAAATATATATATATCCGATATACAGGGTGTCCTTAAAATTGAGACTTTCTTTGAACGTTTTTACAGTAGGGATTCCTTACACAGGATTGTATGTTGCAATAGCAATGGCAAAATGTTCTTAGGAAAACTGTAAAAACAAGAGTCAGAAAAAGATGGATTACAAAAGGTATCGTAATATCAAGAGATAAGCTTCACTATCTGTATGATTTGTCTAAGACGGGAGATGTATTTCTTATAGAGTTCTATAAAAAATATAAAAAGGTATATGCCAGAGTTTTAAGGGAAGCTAAGCAGTCGCTTACAACAAAATGATACTAAATGCAAAAAATTAAACAAATAGTGCTTGGAATGTAATAAATGAAAACAGAAACACACCTAAGCACGAAATCATCAACTTAAATATAGAAAATAAAATAACTGAACCAAAAGAGATTGCCGAAAAATTTATGCAGCATTTTATAATATTCCAGGCTCATATGAACGTAATGGTACTGGAAATAATGGAAATAATATAGATAGAAACAGTCACTCTTTCTATTTTCAACCCGCTGTAAGTAGTGACATAATATCAATAATAAATAACCTTAAAAACTCCAACTCTACTAGCGCAGATAAAATTACTGCAAGTATTTTAAAAATGTCATCTAGTTTCCTTAGCCTCTAGCATTTTCAATTAATTGTTAAATTGACGAGGGGACATTTCCAGATAAACTTAAAAGTTGCAAAAATTAAGCCCTTGTTCAAGTCGGATGATAACCACGACATCTGTAATTTTGGGCCAATTTCACTAATTAGTCCCTTTGCGAAAGTATTTGAGAAATATGTTTCCTTACAAATTATCACTTTTTTGACAGTTTCAAATTATTCAACAGCAGCCAGTTTGGATTCAGATTCATTTTCTTGATGAACTGTATCCGAAAATGGACAATGGCGAAAAGTGTGTAGGAATATTTCTTGACTTGAGCAAAGCTTTTGACTTGGTTGACCATGTAAATACTTTTGGATAAATTGGATAGATATGGAATCAGAGGTAAGCCATTTGACTGGTTCCACAGTTATGTAAGCAACAGAAAACATTATGTTGAAGTACTGACTGCACACTCTGGCCAGCACCTATATCATGCAGGGGTTCCACAGGGTTCCATACTAGGTCCCCTCCTATACATAATATATGTATGTCAATCACTTTCCCTCCACATCCTCGTTAATGTATGATACCTCCTTACTTGTTAATGGCAAAAACCTGGAGTCAGTGGTGAGAAATGCTAACACAAGCTTAGCTGGTGCAGAGCAATGGTTCATTAATAACGGCCTGGTCTTAAACCATAAAAAGACAGTGTTCCTCAGATTTAACTACTCTAACATGCCCATGGATCGTAGTCTCCTTATAAATCAAGCGGTCATGGAACAAGCAGAAACTATAAAATTATTAGGAATACACATATCGCAAAACTGCAAATGGGACACGCATATAGAGAAAGTTAGTCAAAAGGTTACCCCTCTTTGCTATTGCATGTACCAGCTGAGTTTTATCGTTGATAAGTGGATATTGTTAATGTTTTAGCATGCACATATCCATTCTACTCTGACGTATGGAATAGAAGCGTGGGGAGCATCCTCCAAGTTACAAAAGCTTCTTATATTACAAAAAAGAGCTGTTAAAACTATTGCAAAGGTGGGAAGGCGCTTTAGTTGTAGGGAACGATTCACAGCTTTGAAGATATTAACGCTGCCTTCAGTATATATATATATATATATATATTGAATATATTGATTTACGTCAAAACACAGCTGGACAATTTTAGTTCTATAAATTCTGGAATTTATAATACCAGAAACAGAGAAGTATTGGAGGTGCCGACACATAGGTTGTCTAGGACAAATACATGGCAATAAAACTCTTCAACAGTCTACCCATTGATTTTAAATCACTACCGCTGATATTATTTAAAAAAAAATGAAGCAAATTTTACTTGATAAAGCTTTCTACTCTATAGAAGAGTTTTTAATGAGTGATAGTCGTTTTTAATTGTTTTAATGTTCAATTTTAATTTGTTAATTTGTTATTTTAATTCGTTTTCATGTTTATACACTTCGCGTTTTTATTTGATGTTTTGTAAATTAATTATGTATGTAGGCAATTCTGTTTATACTAATATTCAATTGACTTATCTATCCTATATCACTTTGTGATCCGCAGGAAGAATAAATTATTATTATTATTATACAAGCGGAATGGACACACGTTCTACAACTTTGAATCGCCTGAATTGCCACCATCTATTAAATTTAGAAGCACCGGTGCAGGAGCCCCCACCCTTTCACCCTCCAAGTTTCAATCGTCAAGCATTTCATTCTCTTTGGACCACCCCTTCCCCCCATACTTGCTCTCTGGGCCCGCCCCTGGGCCCCTTGATATAATTTGCCACAGGCGCTGGCTGGCTTGATTCGGCACTGTGTATGAGCCATCAGATAATAGAATGATGACAACAGATAAACATGCTTACGGCAGTAACAGATGTAAGTAGTGACCGATAGTATTTGTAAAAAATGATCACGTGATCCGAAACGTGGTCATAAGAACAACGCGCTTTCAAAAATTTATATCGTAATGCTGATGACGAAGATACGCTCAAGCAAATATACTCAGTGACATTAGAAGTGTTTCAGCCAGAAAAAATAACTTGTTCATCTTGATTTTTTATTGTCTTACATCAAAAATGAAACGATAACATTATCAAGAAATTTTATTGACAAGTAATAAGAAAAAAAAATAATGTATTGGGCGACCCCGCAGCAGAATACACTCCAATACACTCCTATATACGTCTAGGCATCGACCAAATGAGATGATCGATGTCTGGTTGTGGCACCTCATTCCAAGCAACTCGAACTTCATGGATTATCTGTGGTAGAGTCTGTGGAGGATGGTGCAAAGTGGACAGTCTCCTCCTCATCATATCCCACGCATGTTCGATGGGATGTGAATCCGGTGAACAGGGTGGCCAGGGAAAAACGCTAACACCTATTTCTTGAGAAAAGTCGTTAGCAATAGACGAGCAATACGGGGACGTGCGTTGTCTTGATGAAGAAGGACCTGTGGACGACCATCTAGATACGGCAGAAACGTGGTTTATATGAAGGACATGATCAACATAACGAGCCTTGAACAAAGAGAAGGGGTAATCGGATACCATGGGCAATATCCCCCCAAGCCATTACTCGAACAGTCCTGTGTATATACAACAGCAAATACAATATGACGGCGGCGTCTTACCCATCTACGACCATCGAGCGTACCTAAACAGAATCGCGATTCGTCGCTGAAGCTGACATTATGCCATTCTGCCTCCCAATGTTGCCGTTCTCTGCTACAGTTTGAACGTTGACGATAGTTGTCCGCAGTCAAAGGAAGCACTAACCGTGGACGGTATGAAAGAAGTCCAAAGTCTCTCGAATGCGGCGATAGAGTGTACGCATCGTAACAGGTCTACTTTCTTCTCCAAACTATTGGACAGCGATCTGACGCGTAGAAGCAAAACGGTCTAGTAGGGCTAGTTGTCTGAAGCACCTATCTTGACGTTCTGTGGTACACCTCGGTTTGCCAGTTGGCCTTCGTGTTCCTCTGCCTTCTTCTATCCACACATGACACACACGCATTACCGTCATTGCAGTACAATTTACACGGCGGCCAGTTTCGCGATAGGACAAGCCAACATCTTAATAGGCAATAATTCTGCCCCTGTTAAAGTGGCCAACATGCTGACAATTTGAACGTCTTCTAATTCGAGGCATTTTGCTATGTTTAACACTAGTAAATGAAAGGGTAATAACTAAAAATATCTGTACTACTCAGCTCTCAGAAACTGCTTTCTTCACAATAAAATTTTAACAAAGGTGAATAAAAACAAATATAAAACGTTAACGTTGTTGCCACAGCATGCTTTAAATATAGTCATTATGTTGCCAAAAAACAAGTCGAAGAAATTGTTTTTTCTGGATGAAACACTTCTGATGTCGCTGAGTAGTACATTTTCCGATTTGGCTGCTGTTTTTAAATATGGTGGCCATGTGACCAGGACTCGGATCAACTGGTTTCAAATATCACCGTATGCATTTTATCAACTCCCGCAATAAAATTCGAAATTAGTTTTAGCTGTACTAAAATGAAACGTTTTGCATGTAAAGCAGTGTTACTTAAATGCCTTCGCCAAAAGCCTTAAAAAGGATGGTAAATGAGCTTTGGAAAATTGAGGTCGGTCTACTGGTTACGAAGATATGTTGAATATGGCGGCCAAACGACCAACATTTGAATAGCGTGACCTCGATTTACTTCCCATGTCTACTGGCAGGGATACTTTTTTGGACGTTATATGTCACGAACTTATCACTCATTTCGTCGGTCTGTCTGTCTGCTAATCTTATAACCGCCTATAACTTGAGAATTGCCTCAAACTTCGTTTTTTTTGGCGTTTCGGAAGATCGTGACCATTTTCGGAATAATTTTGCAGGGGTTAAAAACTTTGGGTTAGGGGATGCAGAGGTTCTCAATTTTTTGACGTTAACCCCAGTAATTCTATGCACATATGGGTAACTTCTTCCAAACATAATCCTCTACGAATTGCTTTTTTATGTGCTTCTGCAGGAGCCTAATAATACCTCGCCTTCAAATTGAGGGCTCAGATACGGGCACACGTGATCTTAGTAGCTGCTCCTAGAGTAATCGGCAAACGGCGCCTCAGAAGTTACTTTTTTTATAACAACCACTTTAGTTGGGCTATAGGCAGAGTTAATGTTACGAATATATGTCATGCTAACTTACCTTTTGCAGAAGTAATTTTGTTAGGGAGTCACCCGGCAGTAAGACGGGGCTCCCGCCTTAACGGGAAGCTTGACGACATTCTGGAAAAAAAACAACAATTTAGTTCTAAGATCATAGATCTAAACCTGAAGCAAGAAAACCGACACATACCATATCAGTCATGTCAAATCAAAAACCTCACATAGTTTACATTTCCAAACATGAAAATACTGTTAACGCATACATGGTGAGTCATAAGTGTGTCGATAGCTCCATTATTTTAAAATATATTTAAAAAAGTAGTAGGCAACTATACATACAATTTCTAGGAAAATGAAAATACCTCGAAAAAGTAGTAATTTAATCCCATTTTATACCAAAATAAGGATTACATAAAAGACAATTCGAAATCGTCAAAACATGCCGGGCGTTGAATTTAAGAAAAGTACATTTTGCGTTTATAACCTGTGTAGACGATGCACAATAAATTACAAGAAACTGTGAGATATGAAGCTCGTTTTACCACTTTGTCTACAAACTGGCTTGAAAACTGCCAAAACTATTTTTTCGCTCAAAATATCCCGTAGCTCCAGAAATAGCGATCCATTTTAAAAATGCATGTCTCTATTACCATGCGTGATTATTTTTCAAGTGAGAAGAATGTCGTTTCCCACAATTCTTATAGGTAACTTTTTCAGCTACCTTTTATAATAATGGAGCTGTCGTTTGTAACCGATCTATCCAAAATTCTTTTAGTCGCAAATCTGGCCACAAGTGTGGATTAATTAGGAAGTCAGGCAGGCTGATCAAAATGCCAATTGCTAAGGCAGAAAGTGCATCGAATAAATATATATACATATATACTAAGTGGCATATAAATCCGAACACCCAGTTTAAATGGTTTTATTTTAATAAAAGTTGGTGAATGTATTTATCTTACTGTAAATAACAAGTGAAAAAATTTTCAGCCTTATCAGTTGGACATTCCGGTTTTTATACTGCTTTTTTTTAATTCACTAACGCTCTAAAAATGAATATTTCAGCCGCAGTAAAGAATCAACGTTGGCGGATTTTGGTTCTTGACATCCTTTACGATCGGTTACGATGCCTAGAGTACGGAGACCTGTACGATTTCGTCAACTTAGTGAGTTTGATAGGGGCCGTATAGTGGGACTTCGGGAAGCTGGACTTTCTTTTCGGGCAATTGCAGTTAGAGTGCAAAGAAGTGTAGACACTGTGGTTAGGTGTTGTCAGGCATGGCTTCGAGAAGGCCGTACGCAAAGAGCAAGGGGCACTGGACGCCGCCGTAGAACAACAGACCGTGAAGATCGCCGCCTAAGATTATTGGCCTTAAGGGACCGATTCTCCACTACCAGGTCCATTGCAAATGAATGGTTTGCAGAACACGGAGACCTATTGGCATGCGAAGTGTTTACCGACGAATGAAAAGTTATGGCTTGTTTTCATACCGGCCACACTGGTTCCAGGTCACCTTTAATTTTCATCAGAGGTAACATGAACGCGCAGCGTTATATCCACGAAGTTCTAGAACCCCTTCTTTTACCCTATCTTGACACCCTGGCAGATCCAACTTTCCAACAAGATAATGCCCGACCACCTGTTGCAAGAGTCACAATAGACTTCTTTCAACATAATAATGTCACATTGTTACCATGACCACCAAGATCTCCCGACTTATCCCCAATTCCGCACGTGTGGGATATGATGGGTAGGAGATTGCTCAATTTGCAACGTCCTCCTCAGACTCTAGAAGCACTTCGAAAGGAGTTGGTGGTTGCCTGGAATGAGATACCACAGGAGGACATTGACCACCTGATCAGAAGCATGCCTAGGCGCGTTGGAGAATGCGTAGCACATCAGGGTGCATCCACACATTATTAAAGGTCAAAGGGCTTTAAAGCAGTGCAATCATTTTAAAATTTTTATCATTTACTTATTATGCTTCATTAAGTACTTATACAAAATTTTATTAAAATAAAACCATTTAAATTGGGTGTTCGGATTTATGTCACTTAGTATATATATATATGAACAAATACTTTTTTAAATCAAAAATCAAAAAAAACAATCTATGCGAGAGAAAAAGGCATCGATTCGAAATTTTGCATATCTAGCAAGCAGCAAACAGAAAATAACACGTTAATCTCAGTTGAAACTAAACCAGAGGCACATACATTTTGATACTTAGGAAAATATGTATATTCTATGCCCCAGCCTTTTCTTGAAAATTCTATGAAACTGTTGATCAAGATAGTAATTTCTCCTAAAAAAGTTGTTTGTATAAATTCTTATGAATTGAAATACGCTGCTGTTTTGTCATAGCAAGTTGTATTACAGTGAGATGGAAAGCAAAATTAGCTTGGATCATTTCTGAACATAAATGTTCGAAAAATCTAAACTTCCTTTTTGAACTATCCTCAAACAAACAACTGTTGATTCTAATTGTTTAGTTCCTTCAAATTGATGATACTTTTACTAACCACGCCACTGACAAGGAAATATTGTAATCGCAAAGAATTTCGAAAATGAGACATTATATTTTATGTGTTGTTTCAGGTCCTAAATGCTTCAATTTGTAATTCGAGTACCATTTTCTGCGCAAAGCTGTCTTCCAGCACTCCAAGATCGCAGAAAGATATCTTGCTGATCCAGTAACTACAAAATTATGCGCCCGAAGGATATTGAGCGCTGGAAAAGGAGAAAAGAGGGCTTTATCCGATTTATGCATTCTGTATGCGGAGGCAACGATTTGTTATGGGATGTATCGATATTATATTCGTATGTGTATTCGATACATGCGACGAAACTCCGAGGAAATTTCAGATGATGGTGAAAGAGGCACAAAGAGGCACGTTTGATATCGCCGGAATTCTTGGTGAATTGTGTCAAGAGCATCGACCAATGGCGTCGAAGAAGTAGAACATCTGAAAGTTATGCTGCGATTCGCTGAGGAATCTGGTCGCCAAATAACACCGCAGATGTAGGATTGTATACTTAGTGACATACGCAGTGGCCTTTTCCAAAGTACAAATCAAAAAATAAACAGCCATTGACATTTTTTGTACTTCTACACCTCCATCTGTGGTTTTATTTGGCGGCCTGTAAAACTATATATGACCCTGCTGGTATTCCCTCAATTAGGTATGAAAATCATTGAAACATTTTTTAGTTATGGCAATTATGTCGAGCTTCTGCCATGTCTATCCACGCAATAATAAAATTTGTTTATATCATGCACAGTTATTTACTACCTCATTTAATGAGTGACTGTTGTATAATCACACGTCTGGCTTTGAACATACTACGTATTCTTTATGCCTTATGTTTAGAACATTGCGGATAAAACCTGTTAAAATATGTAAAAATAGTATAAATTCCGAATGTTATATATATATATATGTATATCTGATATGGCCTTCAACCGAGCCAAATACTCTAGTCCACAGATTTTGACATTTCCTATTTTCTACTTTGGCATGGCAAACAAAATTTCATGAGCATCATAATCCGAGACATCCATTATCAGCCATGTTAGGAAGGTTTGCATGTTGGGTTGATAATATAACTGTCACATCTATTGATTTGTGAAGTGTGTATAAAGTTCTAGTTGTAAAAATGATCTTCGATACCCGCAATCTGCATACGTCACAACTGAGGTTAAACGAAGTCACACTCTCTCAGATCCTCTTATCTTCTTTTATTTAATCTCATTATATGTATGCTGTTTACGCATCAGTAGTATCTCTTATTGACACCAGAATCCAAATGAGAAAACCACAGAGTATGTTTTGTACGCAATATAAAAGTGCCTTATCACATCGTAAATAAAGTATGTTTTCAGATAACATTAACTCAATGATTCTTGATTATATTATTTATTGACATATGTATACGCAAAATTGAAAAAATAATTATGTTTGAATACGTAAAAAATGATTAAGTAAACCAACTATCTCTACTGTGATTCTCATGTTAGGTAATTTTCAACTCAAAAATTGTTTCTCATAAGAAAACTTTTGTTTATGTTTGAGAAGCTTGGAGAAAATGTGACAATTTTCCTCAAGAAACCGAAAGTCTTAATTGTCATGTACCCACAAATACTATATAGTATAGAACACAACACCAACAGTATCAAAAAATGCCATACGGGCTCACTCTATAGAGATACACATCCCTCTACGCTACTGAAAATAAACCTCTGAATGATAGTGTATAATTCAACGAAGTCTTAACGATATAGTAAGTGACTGAGGCCCTATACGACGGTCTGTAGAAAACAATTACCTCATTCACGAGGGATAATCCCTATGCTCGGCCCTTGACCACCTTCCAGTTGCTTATTTGATGAATGTTGCCGACTGTCAAGCAAGTGGTTTTAGCTTACAAGATACTAAGTTTATATGTGACTGTTTCCAAGTTAAGTGCTTTTCAATTCATATATAACAAGGATTTTAATAGAAAAGGAATCTGTTGGACAAAGAGCGATAATAAAATGTCTGCTAAGAAATGGTGTTAAGTAGGTCATAACAAACAAATTGAACAAACTCTCTCATGCAATAAGTCCATAGTTCCCACCCGGTAGGTAGCGTTAAAAAATTCTTCCCCGCTTAACTTAAAGTATTGACAATCTGACAACGTTACTGAACCACACCAATCATGCCATATGCGAGCGCATGCGACATGCTGTAGAAAATATTTCTCCAAGTTTTAAGGATAAATGTACCAAGGTTGGGAGCGTATAAACACGACAAAACATTGAGAATATAAGCACCTCCACCCTGTGTCCACTAACTCCAATTTTTAACAGCTATACAGATGTTTCTATGAATGGAACCTTTAAAACTTCAAAGAAGGTTGAGCGATTCTCGTTTTTTCCGACGCCGCTGACCCAGTTTTCAAAATCTACAAAGCCGTTTCGACCTTGGAATAGTAGCAACCTTGTGTGAAAATTTCACCAACTGGTGTACTGCGGCGATGTAGACACGGACACACCGCTATAGTGGAATATTTATATATTTTAGGAATATCTGGGTAGTAGGAGTAACCACTTTTTTTCAAGTTACTTGACTTGACATCAAGGATGAAACCCTGGCGGAACATTGCAATATACGACGAAGCAACTGTTCTTACAGCCAACGGTAAAAAAATTACCCC